AAAATGGACAAAACGATGAATCCAAAATGAGTTCATTCACTAAACGTTTCATTGCACAAAGGTTCACTGATTTGTTTTCTCTTTCTTACAATCTGCACGATAAAGAACCCTCACTGCAAAATGGCCCTGAGTGCCGAGTAAAGGTCCATATTTGAAGCCCTTCAACGGTATATGGTGACGTCTCTATATGAGTGAGGAATTCTCGAACAGGACGTAAAACAACACACAATAAATCAATCCAAATTTACATCCCCCTCCCCATTTCTTACAAAGAATATTAATATGAAAGGATATCCTCTAAAAAGAAGAAATAAGAGTCTTCTAAACAAGTCTTGTCAACAACTGCATCAATGGCAGTTGCGTCAGACTGCAGATATTGAAAAATCTGTGTATCCACTATACGCACCAACTCCTGATAGCTAATGAATAATTGATGAATTAATTTTATTGTATATACCATGTTTCTTATTTTGATTTATGTTATGCAAGTTTGTTTGAATTAGATATAAATACGCATATTTATACAATTCATCATGCCATAGAAATCTGATCATGAAGGCAAAATGTATCCCGTTGGCAGGCCTAGCAAAAAGTAGTGGAAATACTTTCTATACTTCTCGATAAATACAACTACCATTAATGTATTTTTCATAGAAACCCTTCCAACAGTACAAACAGCCGGATTTTCTCAACAACTAATCGGAAACTTCGGACACCATCGGAAGAAATGCTATCGACTATATTACCAATATATTGTTTTTAAAAAATGTGTTTTAAATCCATTCCAAAGAAAAGAAATACTGTATTTCGATGTGCTTTATGCGAGGTTTGCCTCTCGGAAAAATGAATGCTTTTCTTTATTTCATGGCTTTTTAACGTGCTGATTTTTTTTATAGAAGTCGAGATGTAAAGATATTGCTAATTTGAGATTGATTATTGTTTAATGCCGAATCCGCAGTGTTTCGGCCGTATATCAGCCAAAATTTTACCAGTAAAATAAAATGTATTCTTTTGACGAATTGCTATTGTCTAATAGAAAATTAAAAGATATTCAAAATTCTTTTTTGTTAATTTTTTTTTCATGTGAAAGCTACAAATACAATATATAGTATGCCAACTTCTCTTTTTCTCCTTATAGATCTGTAAAATAACTGTTATGAAAATCTTAACAAGTGATAATCCTTCTCATTTCTATTTTTATTTACTAGAACATCCTGCAACTTTCAACAAAATGGATAAAATGCACGTAATTGAAGAAATAAAGGGGGGTACGAGTGGCGTTGTCTCTCACTTTATTATGAGCACAGGAATTGGACCCTGTCTGGAAAATCAAACAAATATTTTGAACAATGTTTTAGATTTAAACTTTCTAATAATACATCTATGATTTTATATTTAACGTGTAACACAGTCCACACGAAAGAATGATTTAAACAAAATAAACAGGATCAAATCAGCATTAAAAATACTTGAATTCAACTTGCGGATGGTTACGTGAATTTTGACGATAAATACAGCAAACTATGTTACAATAAATCGCTAGGCCCACACACACAATGTAAATATTCATCTTCAAAATCACGTCTTTTCCGTACGTAATCGCAAGTGCCCTGCGGGGAAAAGGATAACGTCACCAAACTATGACAAATGTAATGCAACTATTACGTCACAGACAGCAGAAGGGGCAAAGAGTTAAAGAGTGCCCGTAGCCCTTGCTCTATCGTCTCCTTTGTTGGTATTATCCTCTGCATAATTACCAATGTGAGATACAATAACTGGCCAGTTCTTCAGCATCTTGCTTCCAACTTGCAGCTTATGCTCCAGCCATCTGATGCCTTTCGCTTTTGGAGGTTATAGAAAATGTTCGCCCATTATATCGGCTATTTCTTGAGCCTCTCTATTTCGCTTAGATGATCCTCTGTAGAAATAATATATCAAAGTAACTACTTCAAAAACTGTGTCCATGTAAGTAGGTTTGAATGCATCTTTCACAGCAAGTTCCAACCGATGTGCAAGACACCACACAGAAATGATCCAGGGAGACTGTGCCTTGATAAGAGCAGATACACCTCTAACTTCTCCAAAGTTGACACTAGCTCCATCTGATCAAAAACCAATAAGTTTTTGTTTCCATTTTGGAATTCCAAATTTAGCAAAAAGCATTGTCTAATGCTGTAAAGATACCAGGTGTCTTCCCATTTGGTGGTTCCTCTAAACTTAGAAACAGCATTACAGGGTAGTATCCTTTCTGGATTTTAATCATAATAATTTCTTTTTCAGTTTCAGAACGATCAGTTGAACCATCTCAGAAAACACTGAAGTAATCTGCATTCTGTAATAAATCTTTCAGTTCATCGAAATAAATTTCAGCTATATGGGATGCAAACTCCTTTGTCGCTTTATCGGAATAATAGGTCCTGCAGCTTCAAAAGTTCACAAAAATCTGAAAATGGTCTCTCGTTTTTAATCAAATAATAAACTGTTTTCATTAATTTGTCCATTTTTACCAAGGTTTGCTCATCCGACTTCTGAAATCTTTTTTCAATAGGTGTAGCTTTTTGATTTTCTTTCAGTGAGTGTGCTAGTTTACCTGCAGCAACCCTTTGATGCTCGGATGACTCCTGATAAAGAATTGACTCTTTCTTTATTCTTTTAAATTCAAACACCAACTATCAAAAATGAAAAAAAAAATTAAATAGATTTCAGAAATAAGTCTGACGGAATTGTTACAGTTAATATGTTGGAATGATAAGAGACAGTCACATTCCATTTTCATTTCAGCTCAAAATATTTTCGATACATGAATCTCATATTTACTTTCGTACTTACCGACGATTATATATCAGTAGCCAATCTTTCACAGATCAAACACCAAATTGTAGTAACTGTATCACTGTCTTGTGTAGCCGACGGGAATTTTGAATTCTTGCTCCCATTTCTTAACTGTTTTTAAAGATGCTGTGACTGTGGTACATTTTTTCTTTGAGACATTACTATCTGAACGCTGTGGCTTGTTATTTTCATCATTTAGATGATCAATGTTTTTACGTTTAAAAAAATTGGTAATCATCTCCGATCTCGAAGTCTGTGACCTTTAAAGCATATGTTTGAACAGTTTACGCTTCGCGGTTTGTAAAGCGTAAACTGCCCCAACCCACTTTATACCGTATAAATTGGGTAACTATTAAATTTCATTCCTTAAACTGTTAAATAACTATATATATATATATATATATATATATATATAACTCTGATTTAAGGACTAGGGAGACCAGACCATTATATATGGCTTAAGGAGACAATATACAGATTTTTTAAATTAGCTTTTTTCTAAAAAGAAATACCAGATCAAAGATCTATAGAACACCATTTAGTCGACTCTTGCTTTATTTTTTCATAATAAATGCCTCCTAAAAATATATGAAAAAAATGGTCTCCTTAATATTTTATGTTTCTCTCATATGACTTAAGGAGACCAGTGTATATTTTTTATAAATATAACTTGTGGTTTAAGTAGACCATTTTTCTTTCATAGTAATTTCACTTATTATGCATTGATTAACATATTGTTTCCAACCAGAATAGTTGCGGATGGTCATTAGTCAAGGTCAGCAGAAAGATATTTGTGCTAATGTGACTCAACATGATCAGTACAAAACTTTGAATTAAAGTCATTGCACAAGTGACTTAAATAGAGAGTAGAGTAGTTGCCCCCGTGGCGCAGTGGTTAGAGCGTCTGCTCTAGAGTAGCGAAGTAAGGAGTTGATCCTTACGTCGCAGGTTCAAATCCCACTGTGTGATGGGGAGACCGGTCCTTCAGATGAGACCGTATAAATCGAGGTCCTGTGTCGCAGTAGGTGCTGGCACGAAAAAAATCCCTCGATGCTCAATGGCCGTAAGTGCCGAGTATAGGACAAAATTTGCAGATCTCCACCGGCATGTGGTGGTGTCTCCATATGAGTGAAAAAATCTCGAGAGGAATGTTTAACAACATACAATCAATCAATATATAGAGAGTATAAGCCTAGAGTAGCTTGTTCTGATATCCACATTTAACTCTCAATGCTGTCGCCCACGTGGTGCAGTGGAAAGAGCCTCTGCTCTAGAGTCGTGGAGTTAGTTGATCCTTTTGTCACATGTTTGAATCCCACTGTGCCGAGCATAGGTCATTTGCAGCTCTCCATCGGCAAGTGTTGGCATCTCCATATGAGTGAAAAATTCTCCAGAGGGATGTTAAACAACAAACAAACTCTCAATGTCCAAAACAGTTTAACCTTAAAGTGAATGCAGACATAGATTATTCTTTAGACCAAGTATAGTATACTCCATATTGTTTTGTTGAGGACACAAAGTTCACATGTACAGTGGACATCAAGTAGTTTTTCCTGCTATTTATACCCAGCTTCTTTTAAACCATATAGTCACCGAGTGCATTCGCTTTCCAACTAATTGATGAAGTTCTGACCTATGCCTATATTTGTTTAAATTCTTTGTGATTTAAGAATACATTTGACCAGTTGAAACCAAGAGTACATGTACTGCATAAAATTTCAAGGTTGTGATTAAGATTCAGTAAAAGTTATGCCCCATCCAGTATAGCAATATGTGGATGCCATGTTCAATATACATATTTGCTATCATTAAACTTGCAGAGACCATGAATCAAAATAATTCAAATGCTTAAAAATCATTTTATTTTTACTGCTAGTCAAAATACAGTCACTCAAGCATATCCTTTGTTAATTTGAAAAAAAAAAAATGATAGTTTAACATTTATTATTAATACCATACCAAAGCACAAGATAGTGCACTTCTTACATAATCCAATGATTCATGCTGTGATTTTACCTATTTAGATGTTTCTTATTTACAGTTCAGTATACATGATATACCAGTACAATGTGACACTAACCTAGTATCAGTTAAATGGATCATTACTATTCTGTTTTTAAGAAGTTTGCAGGGTAAAAAGTATAATAAAATAAAATTGTTGATACATTTATTGATTGCATATGCTAAAAACTTTTATAAAATATCAAACATTGTATCATAACAGCTTTTACAAATTAATTCAATACATTCAAAGGTACAAAAATCAAATTATTTTCATCCACAGTTTTATCATATTCAGTTGAACAACAGCTGAATTATTTCACAATATCCAAAATTGGACAATAATAGTTTCTAATCTAGCTAGACAACAGGAAATTTTCATTATTACTTAAATTACATGAAACTATTGAAGTCTGTGAGCTACAAATTATATCTAAAAATTATACACATTTTAACAAGTGTTTACAGTTTAGTGTATTTATTATACACAAATGATGACTTAGTAAGACATACTAGTAAAGTCCACAGATTGACTTCCAGATTTCAGCTCAAAGGCTTGAAGATTTTTAGTGGCTCTTTCATCATTTTTTTTTCACTGAATATTTTCATTTTTATTTTCAAGACGCTGTTTTTGTTGAGGTCTTTTAGCAGTTTGATGCAATCCAAGAACTCCAAGGGCAATTTAAGAACTCCTGAATTTCTTTCTTACCTGGAAAAAATAAAAATTTAAAATATATTCAACTTACATGAAGAAAACTAGTAAAACTAGTGATAATGTAATAGACCTTTCAGATGTTCCAAAGCAGCTACATGTATCTAATTAAAAAATATAAAGTTTGAAGTATTTAGAGTCACCTGTATTCTGAACAAGGGATATGTGTATTTGACAGACCGATGAATGAATAGACTGATCACTATAGAGCACCTTAGTCTTTTTTCAATAATCTTTATATTAGTGAAAATCAAATAGGAACTAGAGTGTTTCAAGGAATGTATATAACACCTGCTAGGTATCATCATTAAAGAGGTAAATAAATCTAAGAGTGGTCAGCTATTAATTTAATATTAGCATGGAGGTTCATGCATTTGCCTGCAAGGAAAAAAAAGGATCCAAAAGTAAAAGACTGGGATAGAATCTGGCAATCAAAGAAAATATGGTTCCCCAGTCCTCAAATGAATAATTTAATTGAAATTATGAGGAATAACTATTTATCATTTTATTAATACACATGTAGGTGCTTCCAACAATCCTCGGAGGAAAGGAATTTCAGACTGTCTTTACTTTAATTGACGTCACTTTGTCAGTCAACACGATTCATTGTGGAATACTGATCCCAATGTATTTTCATAGTATTTAAATATAAGTTTGTGTGGTAACTGAATTTCATACAGTTTCAAAGTATAGTATCATGAGCTCAAAAACATATATAAATGCTAATTATCAAAACCCTGCCTCTCAAAATTTTGGAGATATAAGGTGTGACAGACGGACAGACAGACACCAGGTAAAGTGATCTCTAAGTGTCGTTCTGCTCTGCAGTTGACACAAAAATGAAAGTTAGTCAATTTTTGACAATGTATATCACTTCAGTGATGAAAGGAATGCTGAAGTGGTAAGTCTATCCTAATTCTTTGAAAATACTGCAACCCCATTGGTCAGAATATAATACATATGCTGTCCAGCGTTAATATCATTGGCATAAAGCAGCACAAAACACAATTTGATTGGATGGTGCAACTTGTTTTTCTAGGGGGCGCTGTTGCAACCCTGGAAAAGAAAACAGGACTGGGGCTTGCCCCTAGGGGGCACTTACTGACCGGAAGTAAACAAACAACAGAAATAGCAATACACTAGAAATATGTCCATAGGACATGTATGCCCGCCGAGTGTATAGTAATGCAACATGAAATTTTGTGTTAGTGTATGAAGTTTGATGAGAATATCTTGAAAAGTTTCTTTAAAATTGAAATTGAAATCTAAAAAAAAAATGGATATAGATGATAAATTCTCACCAAATTATGTATAGATGCATAGCCTTAGATATCAATATTTTAAATGGTTTTAAAACCATGCAAAATGCAAATTGAAGGAAAGTGAGGTCAAGGTCACAGGAAAGGTCAAAAGTTTTTGAAATAGTTGAATAGGTCTTACTAATTATATATGTATCAGCATATTAAGTTTGATAAAAAATATCTTGAATGATTTCTTTAAAACGGAGCTAGTCACAAGCGTGGCGCCATGGTTAGAGCGTCTGCTCTAGAGTCGCGAAGTAAGGAGTTGATCCTAATGTCGCAGGTTTGAATCCCACTGTGGGACATGGAGACCAGTCCTTCGGATGAGACCTTATAAACCAAGGTCCCGTGTCACAGTAGGTGCTGGCATGAAAAAGACCCCTCACTGCTCAATGGCCATGAGTGCAGAGTATAGGACAGAATTTGCAGCTTTCCACTGGCAAGTGGTGGCATCTCCATATGAGTGTAAAATTCTCGAGAGGGACTGCAGATTACCTGTAATGATTGACCAAACTCCCTACTAGGCTTTAAACTCTACATTCTTGACCTGTATTTCGTCAAATTCCAGTTAACTAAGGTAAAATTACTTATTGTTAAAACTTAAATGATTTTTTTTTTTTTTTTTTTTTTTTTTTTTTTTTTTTTACCTGAGCCAGATTTTTACTTTTCTTAAAAGTGTTTGTATTTGACTGTTGGTTCCACCTATCTCAAGGAAATGATCTGTAAAAGTAAATGTTAGAAATCATACTCTGTTCTCTATCTACTATAATCATGAGAAAAGGTGTTGAAAACAAGAAGTCTGTGAGCCAATGCTCACTAATAATACCCCCGCTCTGATGTGAATACACAAGTTCAGTTATGGACAAACACAGTGATAACCAGGAAATTGACATCGGATTTGTAAAAACTGAATCCCAGCATATGGCATGCCTAAACAAAGAAAAAATTTCAAGCACCTGCGATGAGTAGTTGCTTAGAAAACTACGACCAAAATTTATTATGTATGGTACGGACAGACGCACGGATAAACAGGAAGTTGACATCAGATTTGTTCCAAAAATGAATCCTATTATATGGCATGCCTAAACAAAGATTGTGCTAAAATTTCAAGCATCTGCAATGAGTAGTTGCTGAGAAAACTACGACCAAAATTTGTTATGTATGGTACGGACAGACGCACGGATAAACAGGAAGTTGACATCGAATTCATACAAAAATGAATCCCACCATATGGCATGCCTAAACAAAGAGTGTGTTAAAATTTCAAGCACCTCTGATGAGTAGTTGCTGAGAAAACTGCGACCAAAGTTTGTTACGGACAGACAGACAGACAGACAGACAGACAGACGGACACACAAGGGTAAAACAGTATACCCCCCTCTCCTTCGGAGCGGGGGTATAATTAACAGATGGAGATAAAATCAGCAGTCATATTAAAGGCTTTTTTCAATAATCAATTTATTAGTGAAAATCATAAAAGTATAAGGCAAAACGGAAAAATAAATGTTGTCATTAATTAACCTTGCATATCTCTACAATTTTCTAATAAGAAAATTATACCCGATAGATGCAATATAATCACCCTTTGCCTGCCCCTAAATTAAATATGAAATTTTGATAGATTTTGATCTAGTAAGCAATTATTTAAAAAAAGGTTCTTTTAGAGGTGCCTAGGGTCGAAATTCATAAAAAAAAAAAAAACCTACAAAAAACGTGAAAACCTATTTCTATCATACTGGTTTATATTTATTACAAATGTCCTCATAGTCAGCATAGCCCAGAACGATAGACCGCAGACTCTCACCATGAACATTTTTAGTGTCCTGGTTCGAAACCATTTGTTGGCACATTTTTATTTTTTCAAACTTTTTACCTGTATAAACACTAAAGAAAGAGTGCACTTATGGGCCCCGGTAAAATGTGAAAAAATGAAGAATTAAATAAAGCATAATTTTCCATCTCAGATCATTAATTGATATCTAAACCATAAGATTCAACAAATTTTATCGCTGAAATTCATGAATATACAAAGAGCAAAGCCATACAATGTGGTAGGGGGTCAGCCGACATTCGTGATTTTCTATAGTAAATCGAGGACGGTCATTCATTTCAAAGCTTTTGTTTATTGTCAGCCTAACATTGTACAAACTTGTGCGATTGACAAAAAATGCATTATACATTTACAAAACTTGTGTGAAAGTAGGAAATTTGTACATGATTAGGCTTGTACTTAAAATATTAAAAATGTATGAAAAGTTCAATGTTTTTCCTATAACAAGCAAGAGCTATTTACCTGTATGACCTATGTTGAAACCACCCGTGGAATAAATTATTTAAAATACTGGTAGTCACGTGAGTTCTACCCAGGTAAACATTCCTCAAAGATGCTCACTGTAAAACATAGCCACGTTTCATATCATTATATCGAAGTCAAGCCGCATAGAGAAGTTTGTATGTATTTGGTTTTAGGAACACGGGATGGTTAGGAGAGTTTAGTGTCGTTAAAATGTCATCATAAATAAAAGTTTCAAACATTTTTAACATTCATGCCAGACAATGGTACTGGTATTGAAAGCCACCTAAATACACTTTTTTTCATTTTAAAATTTACAGGAACTAATGTTAATACTTATTGTATTATTTCAAATGCAAGCATGCAAATTTCTTAATTTGATCACTATGGATACAGGTATCTATACAACTTCATTCGATTTTTTTCTCGGGTAAAATAGCACAAGAAGTATCATTCGGCAAACGCACCTGTCAATGATCCACCATCAGATTGTTCAAGTGTCTGATTTAAATGTCTCCTCCCCTTGATTTAAATAAACGAAACTCAAAATAGGTTCGGTACGACTTTTCCGGATTTGGAGTATCTATAGGCATTTAAAAAACTTCATTTGTTTCAAATCCATGCTGATTTAGGTGATGTTTTAATGTGATTTTAATTAGAAATGTCCACTTGTGTTTAACTATTACCAGAAGAGAACAATTTGGTAATACATTCTAAAGTAATACGGCACTGAAAAAGGGCCCATTAAGCATTGCTTAAGTGCACTTGTCCTTTGATTTTTTAATACAGGCTTTTGCATTTTACTTAATATATTTTCTTCCTTAAATACATGTTTGGTGTTGATATAAAAGACATCTATGGAAATGCACATCATAAATTCTCTTGAACTAAACGCAATCAACCGGAACTAAACCTCATTGTAAGCACACTTTGTTCGAGGACATGAATCATTCACTTTGTGTTACTCGATACTGCAGGTGTCACGAAAAAAAATCATGCCGAGCAATAATTGCTGTGTTTGCCTTTCAAGAACATAATGACGTGTAATAGTACTGTTGTGCCAGTGGGAGAGATACTGTTCTATGCAGAGTAGATGCAGTTCATTCCTCGGGAAAAATGTGTGCATTGGCGATATGTTATGCTAAAAATGCATGAGGGTTTTCAGATTAGAAAAGAATGTGGTAAGGTCAGTTAAGGTTTTATGTCCCGTTGCCATTACTCAGTCAGACATCAAGAATGACCCTCAAACAAAGGATGTATCATTCTGTAAATACTGAGGTAGGATCACATGAACACACAGTTGAGTAGAATGAAATATATCGAGATAACAATCAGTATTCAAGCTCAAAAGCCCATCAAAAATACAAAAACACGGACCTCCAAAACATCAGAGGTGGGATCAGGTGCCATGGAGGAGTGAGCATCCCCTGCAGACCAGTCACACCCGCTGTGTGCTCCTTGTCACGACTGGGAAACAATGGAAAAATCCATACACAATTCAGTGTGTAAATAATGGCCTAACAATAAGTATGAAAAAGGTCAGTCAGCATTTTACTTAATGATAAATTGTATTTGCTGACAAGGTCATTGTATCGACCATAGAACTTACAAAATGATGACTTTAAACAAGACAGCTGATATTCTTGTTTCAGCAATTTGTTTGTCAATAACTTACCTCATTTTAAAAATTGTTCATACATAGAGGATGCTCTTGCGTATCGAATCAACTGAGAGATATAAACCCCGTATGCAGGTGATGAAGGTATATTGCTGAATAAGTAAGGGAAGTTGACGATTGAAAAGTTAAAGTAATCACGTTTATCATAAAGCTTGGTTGTTAGATTACCATTAATGTAGAACTAAAGCAATACATGAGAAACAAGAAACTACACATGTGACCTAAAGTCAGTGACCGGAACATATATCGATAAGCTTTTTCTAAAGACTGAAACCAATATTGGTCCTATAGGTCATCTCATATTTTTAACTAGAAGTGTTCCTTTGATATACTATATTTTACTTAATTTCTATAGACTTACTATACCCTGAAAAAAAAGGAAAACAGGAACTACCTGTTTAAATGACCCGACCACCAAGGCTAATCTAAAGTTTGTCCCTACCTACCTGAAAAACAGACTGCCTCGGGCAGTCAGTAATTTCCAACTCTGGTTATGAGATGCTAAATGTTTAATATTTACAATTAAATGCTTATATTTACATTTTCAAATTCATGATAGATTGAGAAAGTCGATAAAATCATTTCTATATTATGTCTGTATACTGTATAGGGGGGAAATAACTCGCGGTGTTAATATTCGCTATATTCACGGTGTGAATAAATCCGTGAATTCAAGAAACAGTGAATAAGTTTCTCAATAACCTACATGTTATATTTGGAAATTTGAGAATAGGCTACGATAGGTAAATATACGTGCAGTGCATGGTCATTTCAGTAATTACGAATCGTACTTGTCATTCAATTATTTTAATTATCACGCTTGACATTAATTTAGATCACTCAGCAGATAATAACCTGTATTTGTAAAAAAAAAAAAAACTGTTTTAATAGCCAACGCTACATGTTTCATCAATCAAAACACTAGGGTCATGGGTTTTGAATACCCGTACGTAACTATGTTACGACGTGTATTTGTTACCTGCATTATCATGTTTTTATCGACATTTTGGTTTTAAAAAATCATTCAAATAACTATCGAACTTGCTGATGTATATATAAATCTACCCTGTTGTTCCTGAAGTGAATACATAATGCTGATTACTGCCTTCTAGCTATGCTATGGATTAAACTGATATAGACATTGAAGGGAGGTACATGTAACCTTTATTATATACCGATTCCGCAAATTCAACAAACCGCGATCGTGTCAGAGGAGAGAAAAACATGAAAATTACAACCCCTGAAATTAATCCCCTATACAGTACTTCAACCGAGAAATTAGTTGAAACTGGTTCCAGAAAAGAAGCTGAAAATGTTCAATAGTTTACAGACAATACTTGACACATGATGACTGAACAAAAACAGATAGCAATAAGTAATTTAAATGACTCAGGTGAATTATAACCTGTTCAATCTTAGATCCATCTTTTTTCTAATACGAGGGTTGATCCAAAAGTTCATGGAATTTAATTATTTCTAAAATTTGATGAAAGCAAACAATAGGCATATTTATAATATAGTCATTATGCAACAATACTGGAAAATTTCACCACATTCCAATTACCAATAAGGTCACATGAGCTTTCTGAACACTGATAGTTGTAAAATCCGGGGGAGACTTCGACGTAACGTCAAGTTAAGTATGTCATGTCATGTTATAGGAGCATCTCACCCTCATGTTCAATTCAACTAAGTAATTCTACAGAATATTCTGCCTTTTTCTCCTTTTTCTCTCAAGAAAAGCCTGGG